CGACGTTGTAAAGCTCGTTTTGGACATGACAACTTGTACTTCTCATTGTTGCAACAGGTCCACCTGCAGCCTGTTTTTTTCTAAGTAGACATGACTACTTACAGAGCTGTCATAAGAAACAAAACATGCTTTCAATATGGCTAATATAGTAGGCACTTAGTAAGTGCTAGTTTCTGCAATAATAGGAGGTAGTGTTCTAGTCAGACATGATATTTTTTCCATCCTCATAGATTCAGTAATCTTTTCTTCTTTTTCTGTTTCTATTGTCTTTTCAGCCTTGTCTGTTGTCCTCTTAGTTTTGAACAACTGGTTCAGATATTACTCCTGTAATTTTTCCTGACCTATACCAGAGAACAAAATTCTTGGCACTTTCAACCCCACATCACATTGTTAATGTCTGTTGAACACGTAGTAGGTGTTACACATTTTTCTAAGCACCTCATACATACTAACTTACATAATCTCCTGTGAGGAAAGGTACATTTATTTCAAGACAAGGAAATTGAGGCAAGGAGAGATTAATAACTTTCTTCAAGTCTATGTAGTGAAGCTAGTGTTGAAATTTGGCAGATCTTGTCTTTTTAGCAACATCCTGTGCTGCTGTAATTAATTCTCATTGGACTTCCTTCTTGACAACCTGTACCATGTATCAAAAACTGAGTTAATTTTCATTCTTGCATTGATCTTTTTCTGAAGGTGATTATCTTTTCACACAGACTGCAGTAATTGACTCAGCCTTACCTTTACAATTTGTTCCTTAAAAAACAAAAAAGAAAAAAAGACAGGTCTCACTATGTAACTCAGGCTGGCCTGCTCACAGTTGTCTTGCTCCAGCCTCCCAAGTGCTAGGATTACAATGTCACTACAGTTGGCCAGTGTTACTGCTTTTCTTCGGCTTGTTTTAAAAGATGATTGTATTGGGTTTTTTGGATTGACTTTATTTCAGTTACTGGAAATATTTGTTGTCTGTGTTGGGAACCTAGGGGCCATATAGAAGAGGTGAGGAACGTTTTATCTGCTAAGAGCCATTTGGATATTTTTACCATTGTTCATGGGCCATACAAAATTATCAGTACAGGGAGATTGCTTAGGAAGCCAAGAAAAATAGCCTGTCCAGTTAGTTATATACTAGATGATTTTTGCTAGCTTTATACAATCCATGGGCCCCAATGTTTCCCACCCATTTTCTGTGGGAGAATTTGTTAAATTTTAAAGTTTAGTTATGAAGCTAGGAGCCAGTGGCTCACACCTGTAATCCCAGCTACTCAGGAGGTTGAGTTCTGAGAATCATGGTTCAAAGCCACCCCAGGGCAGGAAAGTCTTTGAGACTCCCAGAAAACTGGAAATGGTGCTGTGCCTCAAGTGCTCAGGGGCAGCTCCCAAGCCCAGAGTTCAAGTCCCAGGACTGACAAAAAAAGTTTAGTAATGAAGCTAATAGTTTTGACAGCTTGTTGAAATGTTCTGTTTTTTTTGGGGGGGGGTTCGGTTGTGGGGCCTGAACTCTGGGCCTGGGCGCTGTCCCTCAGCTCTTCAGCTCCAGGCTAGCGCTCTACCACTTGAGCCACAGCGTCACTTCCGGCTTTTTTCTTTTTGCTTATGTGGTGCTGAGGAATCGAACCCAGGGCCTCATGCATGCGAGGCAAGCACTCTACCGCTGAGCCACCTTCCCAGCCCCTTGTTGAATTGTTCTATGACTAGGGCATATGAATAGGCAATGTGCTTGATTCTGGTAATTTTCATATTTACTACTGGGACCACATAGGGAATAGAGAAAGCATTTATAGTAAAGTAAGAGGAAAATTAAAGACTAAATTAGTTATATAACATATGTGTACTGTTTGAAATGATCTCTAACTTTTTAAATGATTGTTTTGGTTAAAAGTCTAGCTTTTTTTGGTGTGTACTGGTCCTGGGGCTTGAAATCAAGTCCTCGGGCACTGTCCCTGAGCTTTTGTGCTTAAGGCTAGCACTCTGCTTGAGCCACCACACCACTTTTGGCTTGAACATGAGTCTCACAGACTTTCCTACTAGGCTGACTGCAAACCATGATCTGGGATCTTAGCCCCCTGAGTAGCTAGGATTACAGGCATGTGCCACTGGTATCTGGTTTGGCATTTTTCTTTTAGATTTTAAAATCAAAGTAATAAAAAAGATCAGAGTAGTGGTATGAATTTTAAACTTTGTAATGTATTATTTATTTTTGATTATAAAGGAAGATGTAGATTCCTTCATGAAACAGCCTGGCAATGAGACTGCAGATACAGTACTGAAGAAGCTGGATGAACAATATCAGAAGTATAAATTTATGGAACTCAACCTTGCTCAAAAGAAAAGGAGGTAAATAAAAATTTCTTGTTTTTTTTTTAAAAAATGGCTTAAAAATTTTTTAAAACGAGATATAATTTACATATATGAAAAGTGTCCTGGTGTCAGGTACTAAGTTTTATGAATTTTGAAGAAGATATCTAAGTCTGTCCAGAATTGGTTCCTGCTGGGATCTGTATATTCTGTCATCCCAGGAACTCCCCTTGTGTTACTTTCCAGTCACAAAAACAAAAGATAGCTGTTTTGTTTCACTATAAATTGGTTCTATCTGTTCTTGAACTTGATAAAAATGAAGCACATAGTAACTTCTGTTTTGTGTCACATTCTTTGTGGGTGGCCTATGGCATCATGTCAGTAAATTAGTTTTTTATTTTTATTATAATTAATGCATATTAGTTATACACATTAATGGTTTCACAGTGTTATATCCATATATGCAGATATGCAGATATTGTGCTTTCTTTCTATTTTCTTTAGTCATCTTTTGGTGGACACCTAGACTTATTACCACCTTGGTTACTATGAATAGTACAACAGTGAACATGGGTATGCTGACTTACTTTTCTTTTTGGTATATACTAAGCAGTGAATTATGTGGTAGTTCTGTTTTGAGTTTTTTGAAGACGCTCTATTGTTTCTGTACTAAGATTTAATATACTCATTTACATTCCTACCAGTAGTGCATAAGGGGTCCTATGTCTATACATTATTGGCAATAGTGCTCTTTTTTTTTCTTTCTTTTTTTGTACATTAATAGTACAAGGCGGTTTCATAGTTGTTGTTTTTTTTTTTACAGTAGCCATTCGGACTGCAATAAGAATCTGTTGTTTAGATTTGCTTTTCCTTGATGGCTATGGATGTTGAGTATCTTCTTGAATTTGTTGGCCATTTGTACTACTTTTTTTTCAAATTCTTTATTATGATTAAGTGATAACATAATTTCCCAAATTTCACAGTATTGTGGGATAGTGATGCTTAAGTTAAAGTCACAAACACATTCTAACTTTCATGGGGCAAATTGTCTATCGTGGTCTATAACATTTATGACCTCTATGAGTTTTTTGTACTACTTTTGATAGATGTCTGTTCATACAGTTGGTCCACTTATTGATTGACTAACTTGTTTGGTCTAATAGTTTGAATTCTTTCTGTATAATCTGGATAGTAATCCCTTGTCTGATGAATAGCTGGCAAAGATCTTTTTCTGTAGATTGTCTATTCTATTATTTCATTTGCTCTGCACATTTTTTTAGATTAAAAATTAACTTATTTATTTGGGTAGTATTGGGCTTTAAAATTAGGGCCTTGCATTTTTTATTTTTGTGCCAGTCTTAAGCTTGAAATCAAGGCCTCAGCACTAAAGTAATTAATATAGCCGAGTTAACATTAACATTTCAACGTCCTGCCAGTCCATGAATTTAGGGGGTGAAAGTCTTTCCATTTTCTATAGTTTTCTTCAATTTCTTTCTTTAATGTTTTATAGTTTTTATTACAGAAGTCTTGAACTTCCTTGACTTGCCTTTTTTCCTAGTTTTCTTTCTTTCTTTCTTTTTTGGTTGGTGGCGGGGCTTGAACTCTGGGCTTAGGCGCTGTCCCTGCGCTCTTCAGCTTAAGGCGAGTGCTCTACCGCTTGATCCATAGTGCCACTTCCGGTTTTCTAGTGGTTTATTGGAGATAAGAGTCTCACAGATATTTCTGCCCGGTCTGGCTTTGAGCTGGGATCCTCAGATCTCAGCCTCCTGGGTAGCTAGGATTACAGACGTGAGCCACCGGCGCCGGCTCTAGCTTTATTTCCTTATGGTTACTGTGAGTTGGACTGTTTACATGATTTATTTGAGTGAGTTCATTATTTTATAGAAAAGCTATGGATTATTGTATGTTGATTTTTGTATCTTGCTACTTGACTAAATTGATCATTTCTAAGTCTTTGGTTGAGAGTATTTAGAATTTTCTAGGTATAAACACATATAACCTTCAAAAAGGAATAATTGGATTTCTTTTCTATTTGAATCCCTTTCTTTTTTCCCTCTCCTCACCTTCCCTCCTTATTTCTTTCTCTTAGATAATTGCTCTTATTCAAGTATTATATTGAGTAAAAACAATGAGAATAGGAACATTTGTCTTGTTCCTGATTTTAGAAGAAATCACAAGAAACATTTCTTGTGATGTTGGCTATGACTTTGTTGTATATAGCCTTACCTACTTTCTTTAAAACTTTTATTGTGAAGACATACTGAATTTTTTTTGAGACAGGGTCTCACTATGTAACTTAAGCGGGGCTCCAAGTTGGGATCCTCCTGCCTCAGCTTTCTGGTGTTGAACTTACAGGTGTGTATCAGCAGTATGTTGTTTTATTAAAGGCTATTTTTGTATCTTTTGAGGTATGTGTGTGTGTGTGTGTGTGTGTGTGTGTGTGTGTGTGTTGAACTTACAGGTGTGTATCAGCAGTATGTTGTTTTATTAAAGGCTATTTTTGTATCTTTTGAGGTGTGTGTGTGTGTGTGTGTGTGTGTGTGTGTTGAACTTACAGGTGTGTATCAGCAGTATGTTGTTTTATTAAAGGCTATTTTTGTACCTTTTGAGGTGTGTGTGTGTGTATGTGTGTGTGTGTATGTGTGTGTGTCTTTCTTTACCAGGAGGTAAATTTCTTGGAAAAAGCAAGTTGTTGAGCCATTTATTCTGGTGTGGAACTCTGTGTAGCCCACGTTGGCCTCAAACTCAAAATTTAGCCCAGGTTGGCGTCAAACTCAAAATTTTCCCGTTTCAGCCTCTCTTTTGTTTCATGAGTCTGTTTTCTTTATTTTGTTATAGCTAAGTTTATTAGACTATCATTTCTTTTCCCTATCTGCTCATATTCCCTCAGGGATGTTACCTACTTTGACCGGTAATCTATGTGGAGGCAGGGATAATTTAAGTTCTTCCTAGTGGGTAGGAGTGGAGAAATGTTGCTGGTGTTATAGTCTAGGATACAGCAATCAAACAGATACTCTTACTTGGGGGATTATTTCCTCTACTCTTGACTGTCTTTACTGTCATCAGGTAGTGGGGTAAACAAAGCGATTGTTGGCGGTACTTTTTATTCTCACTTACAACTCAGCCCTCTCCCCTGACTGTGGCCATTTTTGTCTCTCTCTTTTTTTTTTAACCTTGTAGCGGTCATTTTGGTAGATATTGAGTCATCTAAGGCAATTCAGAGGACAGGCAGATGATTTTATATATTTTTTTCACAAAGTGACAAAAGTATATATTGAGAAAATGTCATTATGGTTTACCTGACATTTGGCTATGTTTGTGCACTCACCAGGAGGAGTTTTACACAGCATTGGATAGAGAACAGTGGTTTCAAATTAAGACTGTGTTTGAATATCCATTATTTTTGACATTAGAAACTAGAAAATGCAAAGCTAATAGTTTATTTTTACCTGCAAAATACTAAGTTAACCTTTATTCTTGTCCACAGACTGAAAAGTCAGATTCCTGAAATTAAGCAGACTTTAGAAATTCTAAAATACATGCAGAAGAAAAAAGTAAGTTACATTTTTGTTTGTAAAAATGAGCGAACCAGGATGCTTTGGCTGCAGCCTGTCTTTCTTGGTTACTGGTATTTAATTCCACTATAGGATCTAGTCTGCTTCTCTATAACTATTATAGATAGTATGCTTTTGTGAAATGTGGTTTTGTGGCCTTTCCCTAAATGCCCAGTTTAATTTTAAGGCTCATAATTGGCTTATTTTCTATGTAGTGTTAGCAGAACTCAAATGTAATTAGAAATTGTTTTAGGTATAAAAAGAAAATGGTTTTTTTTTTGGTCATCTTCACTAAGAATAAGGAGTGAATCTAAGATTTATACAGCTAGAAAAAAAATATTTGTGATTACCCTTTTCAGGTTCTCAATTCACAATTTAGTTTTGTGACCAGTGTCACATTAACTGATTACATTTAGGTCTAAATTTGAGTCTCCTATGTCTTAGTCTAGTGTTAGTCTAGTATTCATTAAATAAAAATAGGCTATAAAGATTAAATTTCATAAGCATATTAAAAAGATTGTGTACACATAGGATTTATTATTGTACTGGAAGGATATTTTACACATCTACTATAACATGGTGAACTTTTAAGAAAGTTCAGAAACTGGGCATATGAGGCATTATTTAAATAAATAATAATTATTTATATAATAAAATAACTACTTTGTATATAGCACTTATGTAATATGTATCTAGCACTCTGAATACCAAGTTGTATAGGTATGTGTGTGTATGTGTATACACTTAGTACTTATACCCCCCCATTTTTTAAACAGATGTAGGAACTACTGTTTTATAGACCTAGATTGAGATGCCAAATTTACACAGTAAGTAGTTGAGCCAGACTCCATGCCTAGACATCTGGAACTGGTGGTAGTAGTAGTAGTTTATTTGTTTTGGTTTTTTGTCGCTCATGGGGCTTGCACTCAGGGCCTGTGTACTGTTCCTAAGCTGTTTTGCTCAAGGTTAGCACTCTACTGCTTTGAGCCACAGCACCACGTCCGATTTTCTGGTAGTTAATTGGAGATAAGAGTCTCATGGACTTTCCTGCCCTAGCTGGCTTTGTACTGCAATTCTTAGTCTCCTGAGTAGCTAGGATTATAGGCAAGAGCCACCAGCACCTGGCCTTGTTTTTACAACTCTACTTAGTTTGCATGATGGTATAGTTTTAAATCCTTAGCATTCTGCCATGGAATCTCTCTTTTATAACCCTAATATCAATCTGTCCTGTTTATGGTACTGTCATTTTTTTTAAAGGAGTCCCCCGATTCAATGGAGACCAGATTTTTATTGGCAGATAACCTGTACTGCAAAGCTTCGGTTCCTCCTACTGATAAAGTGTGTCTGTGGTTGGGGGTAAGTATATATAGCCATGGCTGACATACTTGTAAAACAGTGCATTTTGTGTAGCAAAGTAGTAGTACTTGAGATGTATAAAATGTCCATCTTTTGACTGTCAAAGGAATGCAGGGTTAGAATTAAAGTGGTCTATGTTAGAAACTGACTTGATTTAGGAATATAATGAAGATAGCACCCAAAAAACACGTTTCTAACATCCCTATCATGATAAAAATGATCCAACCTTACTTCTCCAACTAATGTTTTATCTCACTAGTTTTATAACAGAAGGAAAGGAATAGAAATAGAAAATACTGCTGAATTTTTGATTAATAGATGTTTCCTCCCTATAAGAGTTTAATAGCTCTGGAAAAGTCCCTCTAGAATTAAAGAGGAAAAGATGATTATGAAGACCTTTAGGTTAGAGTCCATTTAAAAAATACTCACGTAAGGAGGAGGCTACAATGCTTGATAAGAAATGTACTCATTATCTTGACCATGTAATTGTAACTCCTCTGTACAGTATTTTCACAATAAAAAAATACTCACTTTTAGCCGGGCGCTGGTGGCTCACGCCTGTAATCCTAGCTACTCAGGAGGCTGAGATCTGAGGATCGTGGTTCAAAGCCAGCCCGGGCAGGAGAGACCGTGAGACTCCTATCTCCAATAAACCACCAGAAAACCGGAAGTGGCGCTGTAGCTCAAGTGGTAGACGCTCGCCTTGAGCTGAAGAGCTGAGGGACAGCGCCCAGGCCCAGAGTTCAAGCCCCACGGCCGACCAAAAAAAAAAAATACTCACTTTTAGATGATTTCATGGATCTTGTCTACTATTTTATCTCATTCCTCCATCCCAGCTAGTTTTCTGTGGGTCTTGTTACCTTAGGCAAGTTCTGACACAAAGTAGTAAACCATTTGTACTGCTTTCTAGCTTTCTCCCACTGGAAGGATTTTCCCTTGCTGCTGTCCTATAGCATCACTCCTAAGAGGTTATATGCTGATTAGCACCAGGAAATTCCCTTCTCTATCCTTTTTTTAGCAGTGAAGATTTCAACTTATACAACACATTCACTTTGTTGTTGTTGTTGGCCATGGGCTTGAATTAGGGCCTGGGCACTGTCTCTGAGCTCTTTTTCCTCAAAGCTAGACTACTACTTTGAGCCACACCATCATTTCCATTTTTCCAGTGGTTAATTGGAGATAAAGAGTCTTAGGGCCTTCCTTGCCTGGGCTGGCTTTGAACCATGATCCTCAGATCTCAGCCTCTTGAGTAGCTGGGATTACAGGCATGAGCCACCAGCACCTGACTAACATTTACATTTTATTCTAACCATCTCATGCCGGTTTGGATTCAGTGTTCATTACTATGCTTTTTTTCTCCAGCATATTCTATCTTATGTTTGAGTTAACATACATTTATAATAGGAGGTTTCATTGTAGCATATATACACAGTGCTCTTTGAACACTAAGGCTTTAATTCAGTTTAAACATTACCAGAATATTGACCAGTTTTATTTTTGGGGATTTTTTTTGGGTAGAAATTGCATGACTGTTATTTTAATATATATATATATATATTTTATTGTAATGATACTATACAGAGGGGTTGCAGTTACATGAGTAAGGTAATGAGTACATTTCCTATCGAGCATTGTCACCCCCTCCTTTGTTTTTCCCCTACCATCTCCACTTTCCCAACTCCCCCTCCCCCCACATGACCTTTTAGTTTACAAATTCAAATATTTATTTCCAGAAAGCTGATTATGTGTGTGTGTGTTTCAGTATGAATGCCATTTTGGTCAAATTTTGTCTATTATCTTTTCTTTCTTTCTTTTTTTTTTGTCATGGGGCTTGAACTCTGGGCCTGGGCGCTGTCCCTCAGCTCTTCAGCACAAGGCTAGTGCACTTGAGCCACAGCACCACTTCTGGCTTTTTCTGTTTATGTAGTACTGAGGAATTGAACCCAGAGTTTCATGTATGTTAGGCAAGCACTCTCCACATTCCCATCCCTTGTTTCATTTTGTCTATTGCTTTTTGGCAAAAATACACAGGCATATGTTGAATCTTCTCTGTTTTCAGTATCTTATCATGTCCACCATTTTCAAATATTTGGTCTTTTTCGTTTTGTGTTATTTCCTCTGGACTATTCCTAATTTCTTTATGATTTACCTTTTTAGTTATTCTGTTTTCTTCTGCTATGTTTTTTATAACTGTTTCGCTTTATTTTCTTTGCTTAATTCTTTCAGCTGTCTTCATCTTTTTTTGTTTTATTCTTCTTATTTGAATATTTGATCCAGATATCTGCTATAGTAGACTAGCAGCTCACACAATTTTATCCATCTTAGTAAAAGTTTCACCTAGTTGCTAAGACCAAAAACCTCTGAGTCCTCATTGATACTTCTCTTTCTTATAGCTCTCAGTTAGTCCATTAGCTAATATCTTCTGAAGATATTGAGGAACTAAGTTTCTCACTTTCTTGCTGCTACAACCCTAGTCCAAGCCATCTTTGTGGCCAAGACTGTGCGTTAATGTCTGTGTTAGTTTGGCATAGTTGCTGTGATAAAATGCTCCAAACTGTGTAACTTTAACAACAGAAATTGTTTGTCCTACATTCCTGGAACTCGGAAGTCTTGAGATCAATCCTGGAATGAGTTAGATCTTTCTGAGGGCTATGAGGGAAAATTTATTCTGGTCTTTTCGCTTAGCTTATGGTGTTTGTGCACAGTTCTTGGGCATTTCTTGGTGTGTAGAAATTACACTTAACTCTGCTATCATCCACATGTATGTGTATATATTTATAAAATTTCCCTTTTCTGTAAGAACATCAGCCACGTTGGATTAAAACCTTACCGTAACAACCTCATTTTAACTTGGTTGTCTTTGTAGAGACAGTATGTCCAAATGAGTTTACGTTCTGAGGTACTGAAAGCTAGCCTTTCACCTTTTGTTGTACATGAGGAAGATATATTTCAGTCTATAGTACTTTTTTCCACATAAGGTCATTTTCATAGGTAACAGGAGTTAAGGCTTCAATATATCTTTAGGGGGACAGTTTAAGATCATGTTACATCCCTCCTCAGGACTCCATCAGTTTCCCTTGTCAAAAGGTAGTTGTACTTCCTCTTTGGCACCATCTGATTTTTTTATTGACAGATACTTTCCTTGTATTCACCTCCTCACTTTTGCTGATTTACTATTGGGTACTAGGTTTGTATCATAATTTTCCTGTTTTCTGTATGCATGTTTAAATACGTACCAAGATTTCATAAAACTACAAAAAATGGATTGTAAATTAATAGCTCAATTATCACTTAGGTTCAACTGAGAAACAACCAGTAGACTGTAGCTGGCCTACACTACTTTGTATATGAAATTATATACAAATGTATAAATAGATATATGTATTTTTGTGTGGTAACTCATGAAGTCATGCCATTTCCAATTTAAATTTAGCACAACAGAGTTTTAACTTGTTGCTCTGTTTCTACTTTTTTTCTAACCAAGAATTCTGGTTTTCAAAATACCAAGAGTGATAAAATTAAACTGGACAACGTTACTCATTTGCTTTACTTCTTATTACACATAAAATGTTCTTAGAACAATATCACCCATCACTGTATCCACCAACATTTTTATATGCTTTCCCTGTCTTTTCCATTCTTTACAAAGTTTGGCTGATACTGTTGGGACACAAAGCCACACAAAGCCACTGTGTGTGCATTTTCTTTCTCTCTCACATACACTTTATTCTCTTTTATTTTATTTTTTACAAATTCTTTGTGATTAAGTGATTACATAATTTCACAAGTTTCACGGTATTGTGGGATATTGATGCTTAGTTAAAGTCACAAACATAGGGTTGGAAAGGTGGCTCAGTGGTAGAGCGCTTGCCTTGCATGCCAGAGGCCCTGGGTTTGATTCCTCAGCACCACATAAGCAAAAAGAAAAAAGCCGGAAGTGGCGCTGTGGCTCAAGTGATAGAGCGCTAGCCTTGAGCTGAAGAGCTGAGGGACAGCGTCCAGGCCCAGAGTTCAGGCCCCACGACCAGACCCCCCCCAAAAAAAGTCACAAACACATTCTAACTTTCATGGGGGCAAATTGTTTATCATGGTCTATAAAGTTTATGAGTTCTGTGAGCTTTGACAATACAGTTATTTCTTCCACATTGGGTGATATGTACATTCCTTTCCTTTTGCATAGCGTCAGCTGTTCCCTCTTTCCCACTCCTCCCTCTCTCCCATTGCTGCCATTGAGTTGCTTAGTTCATTTTGATCAATGGCCAGTGAAGCTGCTGGGTCCCACTGTTGTATGTTTTTCCCTGTTTCCCTCTAGTTCTGTGTCCTCCTCCTAGTTTCCCTTTGGTATGCACATATATACCATCTATGTGGTCAGCAGCATGGGGTTATTTAGTAATGATTCGACCAGATGAGTGGAAGTCCTTTGTTTCTCCAGTCTTGTTTACTTTGTCGTATCACTTTACGTTTTGGATTTAACATCCACTTATCGGGGAGACCATGTGCCATTTGTCTCTTTGTTCTTGGCTTACCTCACTCAACATGATTTCTTCTAGTTCCATCCATTTCCCTGCAAAAGCCATTGTTTTGTCCTTTCTAATGGCTGCATAATATTCCATTGACATACACTTTATTCTTGTGTGTGTGTATGTGTGACAGAGAGAGAGAGAGAGAGAAAGAGAGAGGGGGGGAGAGAGAGTGCATGTGTGTGTACACATGCATTCCAATCCTGGGGCTTGGACTCAGATCTCAGTTCTTTCCCTGAGTTTCTTCTGTGCTCAAGGCTAGTGGCTCTTCCACTTGAGCCACAGTTCCACTTGTGGTTTTTTTGGTGGTTAATTGGAAATGAGAATCTCGTGGACTTTCCTGCCCGGATTGGCTTTGAACTGCAGTCCTCAGATCTCAGTCTCCTGAGTAGCTAGGATTACAGGTGTGAGCCATTGTCACCTAGCTCACACTTCATTCTTATTTTCTGTGTAAATAGGTACTGAATGCACATCACTGTC